GAGCACCGCCGCGCTTCCCAAGCGGCGCACTATCCAGTGCGCCACCGGGCCGGCCCAACAACATTGCTAATATTGACTGTCTCACAATATAACTCTGATGCATTATTTTACCAAAATTTCTTATGGTAGGGTAAGAGGGAGCTGGAAAAAAGAGGGTAAGGAGGGAAGAAAGTCTCTTCCTGCTATATCTGCTTCCAGTTCTGCCCAGTAAAGCTGACACTGTCCCTCCTATTGTACTTTACTGAAGACCGTGAGGAGTGATCACATTCTGATACGGTACTTGGCCTTCATCCATGAGGAAGCACGTGGTTAGGGCTGGCAGTGGATACTTAGCTAGCTGTTTTTCCACTTCATCCCACAGGCTGCCAGCTCCCCACACCGATCCTCAGTAACCACCTCTCTCCACACCAAGTCTACAGTTCTCATTGGGCCCCCATCTGCGAAGTCATTTTTTTCACTTGAGAATCAAAACAAAATAAACTGAAACCCTTTCAAACTAGCTTATGAAAAGGGAGTTTATTGTAAGAATATGGGGCAGTCTCAGAGAATCCAATCCAGGAAGTACAATCGGCCTAGTGGAGGTGTTACCCTCCAGTTCACTCTCTTTCTCCTCTCCATGGGGCCATGGATCTGGGTGTCTGTGACTCTGTAGATCAGGTCTTTGCTTATTAATCCATAGGAGGGATGGAGAGGACAAGTCACCTTGAGAAGGGGCTGCCTCTCTGGGCTGTGGGTTGACAACTTCTCAGAGAATCTGGACAGGCAGGGGAGGACATGCTGACCTCTGCAGTGTAGGTCCTTAAGCAACAACCACATTCTGAGTCAGCAGTCAGTCAAGTCCTCATAGTTTCTACACAAAAGAAGGTCTGCAAAACCCTTTGACTACTATTAACCAAAGATGTCTATCATGCACTGCAGTCAGCTCTCATAAAAGAGTAATCCCAGTTAAACTCCTTTTTTTTTTTTATATTTGTATGAGATTATTATTTTATTNTAAAGCCACATTGAGAGATTATCTCTCTCCAGCTAGGCTGGCTATTATCAAAAAGACAGAATAACAAATGCTAGCAAGGATGTGGACAAAAGGGAACTTTTCTACACTGTTAGTGGGACTGTAAATTGGTGCAGACATTATGGAAAACAGTATGGAGATTTCTCAAACAACCATAGATAGAACTACCATACAATCCAGCAATCCCACTTCTGGGTATATATCCAAAGGAATGGAAATCATTAGGTCAAAATCATTACCTGCACTCCCATGTTCATCACAACTCTGTTTACAATAGCCAAGATATGAAACCAACCTAAATGTCCATCAATGGATGACTGGATAAGGAAAATGTGGTATGTATACACCATGGAATACTACTCTGCTGTAAAAAAGAATGAAATTTTGCCATTTGTAGCAACATGGATGAGCTTGTAGAAAATTATGTTAAGTGAAAGAACTCAGGTACAGAGGGAAAAATACCACATCCTCACTCATAAGTGGGAGCTAAGAAAGAAAGAAAGGCCATAATAAAACATTAAACTTTCAGAAGGATAGTTACTAGATATGGGAAAGGGGGAGAGGGAGAGAGGATAGGGAGTAATTGGGTAAAGGACACAAAAAGTAATTACAATTTGTAATGATGAATATACTAATATTGATTCGATCATCACATACTGTACACAATAGTGATAGTCACCTCTCTGTACCCCATAAATATGTAGAAATGAAAAGGAAAAATAAAAAGCTGGGGAATCAACGAGACTAAACAACATTGCTAATATTTTTTTTTTTTTTTTTTTTTTTTTTTTTTCCGTGTCCGGCAACGGATCGC